TTTTTTTTTTGCGGTACGCGGGCCTCTCACTGCTGTGGCCTCTCCCGCTGCGGAGCACAGGCTCCGGACGCGCAGGCTCAGCGGCCATGGCTCACGGGCCCAGCCGCTCCGCGGCACGTGGGATCTTCCCAGACCGGGGCACGAACCCGTGTCCCCTGCATCGGCAGGCGGACTCTCAACCACTGCGCCACCAGGGAAGCCCTGAACTGTTGATTTTTTTAAGTTATAAATGCTCACTTTGCTTGGTAAATCCTGTATACAGGGATGGAGTTCTACAGCTTGGAATAATAGGTAGCCAAAGAATGAAGAAGAGAAAATTTTCCTAGAGTGTTCTAAGATTGTGTCCTCTGATTTCCTTGCCCATGACGTGGGTCAGTGGGATTTGTCCTAAACTGGGTAAACTTGGGCATGCATTCTACCTCTGTTCAGGGTGCTGGGACAAAGCAGTAGGTCCCCCTGCTGTTTAAAGTAACAAAGCCCCCTTCTGTGTCCTCAGTGGTTCCCCCAGACACTCCCTCATTTATCTTGCAGTCTTGGGAAGCTGGCCTGTTTGCCTCTTCCAGGTGTCAGCTCTCACCTGCCCTTTTCACTTCCTTTACCCTTGAACTTGGGCTTAGGATGCAGCATTTTCCACTTCTCTTCGTCCTGTTGTCTTGAAATTAAATAACTTGTATTATTATTTTAAGGGAAAGACAAAGCAATTTGGTCCTCTGGGCTCCAGACTCTGCTGAATTTAAAATAGCAACCAGACTTTCTTTGGTTAATATCCACCTGGTTACTGAGATCCTGATCTCTGGAAAAACCTATCCTTGCCTTTGATCTGTTTGTTTGTCATATTTTGTTTTCCTGAAGCATATTTACTGGCTGGTTGGTCAGTGGATGAAGCTCATGGTCTTCACGTATTATTTGAACCACATCTCGCTTTGAACATATGTCTAAAGCCATCCTCCTGATGGCCTGTTTGTTCCTAATGAAGCTCAAAGAAGACTTCTAATTTCTTACTGCCTCAAAACCTCCATCTCTTCCTATTGGGCCAACCATACATTTCCTGTTTTCTGTCCAAAGGATGACTTCAGTGGGTCTCTTTCTAAAGACTGTTTCAGGTGCCTTCTAGAATTATCACTGCACTCTACCAAAGACATATTTTGGTACCTTTTAAAATAATAGCAGGTGATTTTCTACCCCAAATATTAGTCTTTGTATCAACTTTAAGAATGAGAATAATATTTATCATTGATAAGATGCTTTATTTTTTACAGAATTCTTTCATATAGCTTGAAGCCCTAAAGAGGTATTCAAAGAACCTTTTGTGTAAACTTATTTGTTCCTTGTAGGGTTTTAAAAACTCACTATAAAACCAAGTGAATTGGATGGTTTGTATATGGGTAGATTTTCACCAATGATTTAATTGCTTTAAAGTTTATA